TCTTTAAAATGTTTATATTTTAATATTTTTATCATTACTTTTTAATTTTGTTAAATTTTTATGTTGTGAGTTTAAGCAGTTTAATTTAATTATTAAAGCAAAACTTTTATATAATGTTTTTATTGCATGAACTAAAAATTGCTTTGAGATTTGCTCCTGTATCTGCCACTGTTCTAAATGTAAAACTGCATATTCACCTACAATGAGTAAATGCATATTGCTGCATTTTTAATAATTAGAAATACAGAATTTTATCGGTAATCAAAAATGGAATTTACGTATTAATTTATTGTAGTTTTTAAAAATTGATTATAGAATCAACAATGCAGGAAATTAAATACTATTTAATTTCCTGCATTGTTGATTCTATAAAATTAACTTTTAACGAGAANTGAACTTCTGATGCAAACCAGAAGCCATGTTATTTCAATTCAAAAATTGTTTCCTGAAAGGTGTTAATGACTGGCAAAACTGTGTTATTAAGGGAAGAGTATGATGTACTGTAAAGGGGCAAGCCACTACTAATATGAGGTGGAGAGCATATATTTTAAATGAAGTAAATTAAAAATTGTAGCCCAGGATTGTGATGATGTCATAATAAATGATTACTCATTAATTCACTAATTTTGAATAATACTTACCACAACAATTGTCTGTGAATTGAAACCTTGAGATCATTGACTGAACCAGATGAAGTGATTTAATTAATGTAAAGTTGGTGTGCTGAATCTGAAAATCAAATTCATTTACTACACATAAGGAATTTTTGCAAAATCACAATAACCATATATATAGTTACATATAGAATATGTGAGTTTATTAGAAATATAATTATTTTGAACATTCAGGAAATTCTTTAAGTAGTGAATTTGAGAGAATCAATATTTTGAGTGTTTTTTTATAAGTTCTGTGTGTGTATAATAATAACAAATAATAAGTTATGACTTTGCAAGTATAAAATGTATTTAGAAATAAACTTACTTAGTAGAGCACGAGGAAAAATTAAAAGTATAAGATGCTTGTTTCATTTCTTACCACTTGCATGGTAAACCATACAAAACAATTTCCATTACATTCAAGCACTTTCTTTTATTAATTGGGTAGATCGTGGATTCCTGCTAAATAAAAACTCACTGTTTTGACTCAAAAAAACTATGCACTATAATACTTTAATTTTAAAAAATAGTTTCTACAGCAGACTACATGCCAAAGTATGGCAGGCTGGGCACATAATTAATTTGCTGACACTTCACAAACAAATTTATTTCATAATATTTATTATGATGGTGTTGGAGTGAATCAGCATGCATATGTGTGTGTGTGTGTATATATATATACATACAGTAGAGCATCTTTTATCTGAATCAATTGGGGACTGGGGTTGTTCGGATAACCGATTATGCACAAAAAAAATATATTAACCTACCCCATGTTGAAATTTTTCTCCATTGCATGTCGCTTCGCGTTCAATTTTCGTCTATGTTAAGCCTAACGTAAACTTTTTAAAATAATAATCGTGGCTATTGTATTGTTAAAAATTATTTCTTTATTTTTTACAAACAAAATAAATATATTGAAAAATATAAAAACAAAAAAAATTTATACTTTAGAAGTTAATCTAGTATCAAAAATGCTCAATTCAGCATGACACACAGTACTCAGAAAACACAAAAGTGCCAGTACACACAAAAGTGCCAGTGCTGCCAGCTAAAACACACACACCAACAAAAAAAATATTGGAGTAGCCCAAGACATAGCCAAAGGTTGAAGTGCCACAGCACTAGTGAAAATTTAAATTTGCCGACTGGATAAATGATGCTCTACTGTATATATATGTACAGGTATAGGACAAAATAATAGGAGCACCTGTGAGAGAATGCAAAATATTTATTAATAGGGAGTTGGGCCACCATTGGCCTGAATTACAGCTTGTATCACACCTGGAATAGAGAAATAAAGATCGTGCAGAAAGTTTAAGGGANTACTGTATATATATGTACAGGTATAGGACAAAATAATAGGAGCACCTGTGAGAGAATGCAAAATATTTATTAATAGGGAGTTGGGCCACCATTGGCCTGAATTACAGCTTGTATCACACCTGGAATAGAGAAATAAAGATCGTGCAGAAAGTTTAAGGGAATTCGCAGCCATTCCTCCTGCAGAGTGGTCTCGAGTTCAGGTAGTATGTGTGGAGGAGGAAACCGAGCACGGACTTTGTTCTCTAAAAAACCCCACACAGGCTCAATGATTTTGAGATCAGGAGACTGAGGACACCACATGAGATGTTCCACTTCATTATGCTTATCCAACCATGTTTGAACACAGTGAGCCGTGTGTACAGGGGTGTTGCCATCTTGGATTAGAGAACGTTCTCCAGGAAACAGTGTGTGAAGCATAGCGTGTAAATGATCTACGAGAATACTGCAATAATGCTCTCCTCTGACCTTCTCCCTCAGGACTACAAGTAGCCCCAAGCCATGCCACGATACTGCTCCCCACAGCATCATAGAGCCCCCTCCATGCTTCATGATAGGAACCAGTCAGTCAACACGAAATGCCTCTGCCGGTATTCGCCAGACAAACACACATCTGGTGGTCTGAAATAATGTAAATGATGACTTGTCAGACCAGATTACCTGTTCCCATTGCTGTTGTGTCCAGTTTTGGTGGTCTTGGCACCACTGTTGTCACTTCATAGCATTCTGTGGCAACAGTAATGGCTTTGGAATGGCTCATGAATGCTCGCAGCATGTAGCTATCATTGAATAGTTTTGGTGGATATGGGGTTCTGGAGATGGGTGTTCATCTCAGAAATTTTCTGTTGCAGTGTAGTCTTACGTTTTTGGGCGACTATCCTCTTCAATGCTCGTCTATCCCAATCGGTCAACTTCGACTTTCACCCACTGTTCTGCTTCTCAGAAGACACCTTTCCCAGTTTTGTGTAGGCTGTCATAACCTTTGACACAGTGGACCTTGAAAAAAACACCCATAAGGTTAGCTGTTCTAGATACTGATGCTCCAGTGAGGTGAGCTCCAATAATCATGCCTGTTTGCATATCGGACAGGTTGGACATAATGGCACTTTGCTGGGAACAGAATTTTCTCATTCAACTGTCACACTGCCAAATGCTCAACTGATACCTTCCCTTTCACCGCCACTGGATAGCAGACTGTTGTGACATGTGGTGGGGCTGTATTGGATGATTGAAGTACAACACATTTCGAAAGGGATGTTCCTATTATTTTGTCTTATACCTGTATATGTATATATATACACTGGTGCCTAGTACTAAGCCAGAATAAAGTCAAGGCATAACTTCCATACCGTGTGGGAATTTTGAAATTTTACTTTAGTGTAGATTTATTAGAAATTTATTTAAAACATTATTCAAAGATAAAGCTTGAAGTGTTATAAAATTTGTTTTTGTCATGTAATGTGAGTTTGTAGAAAACAATAGAATAATAATTTATAAGGGTATTTTCCATGATTGGGCTGCAATTTGAAAAAAAATATAGACCTATAAATTCCCACTGTTGTCTGTTCTTTTGAGATTAAAGAAAGATGTTCTTTAATCTCAAGAACAGAGTTAGATAGATGAAAGATGATACCAGATATGGAAACCTTAAGGGCAAGAGGCCTCAATTAACATTATGTGAACTTCTGATGCAAACCAGAAGCCATGTTATTTCAATTCAAAAATTGTTTCCTGAAAGGTGTTAATGACTGGCACAACTGTGTTATTAAGGGAAGAGTATGATGTACTGTAAAGGGGCAAGCCACTACTAATATGAGGTGGAGAGCATATATTTTAAATGAAGTAAATTAAAAATTGTAGCCCAGGATTGTGATGATGTCATAATAAATGATTACTCATTAATTCACTAATTTTGAATAATACTTACCACAACAATTGTCTGTGAATTGAAACCTTGAGATCATTGACTGAACCAGATGAAGTGATTTAATTAATGTAAAGTTGGTGTGCTGAATCTGAAAATCAAATTCATTTACTACACATAAGGAATTTTTGCAAAATCACAATAACCATATATATAGTTACATATAGAATATGTGAGTTTATTAGAAATATAATTATTTTGAACATTCAGGAAATTCTTTAAGTAGTGAATTTGAGAGAATCAATATTTTGAGTGTTTTTTTATAAGTTCTGTGTGTGTATAATAATAACAAATAATAAGTTATGACTTTGCAAGTATAAAATGTATTTAGAAATAAACTTACTTAGTAGAGCACGAGGAAAAATTAAAAGTATAAGATGCTTGTTTCATTTCTTACCACTTGCATGGTAAACCATACAAAACAATTTCCATTACATTCAAGCACTTTCTTTTATTAATTGGGTAGATCGTGGATTCCTGCTAAATAAAAACTCACTGTTTTGACTCAAAAAAACTATGCAATTACATTTTTCATATCATCATCATCTGTCAGATTGACCTTGATACATATGGTCTTGCATTGTCATGAAAGTTCACAATGTTCATCAGTGGACAAACCATAATGGACTGATCACAACAAAGTGTCTTGCTTATTTCTCACGTGACTTGACTTCCACCAGCTGTTATAGCTCATCATCTAATAGGACAGAAGGCCTTCCTGAGCCTGAATTATCTTCTAATTTGTATTTCCCAGCTTTAAATTTACTGAATCAACTGTAGAATGTAGGCTTGAAGACAATTTGCCAACTAGTTGTGCCATGCAGCAATAAGATTCAGTTGCTTTTATACTAAATTGATAATCATCAAATTCACACATGTATACTTTATCATGGGAAACATTGGCAAACTTGATGTATTTAAAGAAAGTATAGAAGTAAAATTTAATCTAATTTTTCTTTTTTTTACTAATTGAACTTGTAATGATACTTCAATTATAAATATGTATTAAATTTTGATTTAACACATGACTGGATNATACTATTTTTTTAAGCATTGAAACATTATTTAATTTCTAATTTTAATTAATTGTGTTCAAGGTATTGTTGGTGAATTAGATACTACAGACGATAGTTATTATTTATGGACACACAAAAAATTTGATATTGGATATAATGGAAACAACATTGTAGATGTAAATCTTACAAGTGAAGCAAAAATAAAACTGGAAAAGGGGAAAAAGATTTCTTTCACTTATGAAGTATTTTTTAAAATTATCTTTATTATATGAAAATTCTAATTTATTATTATTATTTATATCTGAATTACTTAATATAGATCAATTGGAAACCATCTTCAATCAAATTTGAAGATAGATTTGACAAATACTTAGATCCAAGTTTTTTCCAACACAGAGTAAGTATATTAATAATTTAAAAGTATTTAAATAGACATAAAATTTAAGTTTTTCACGATTTCATATTTTTGTATAAAAGAATGTTCCAATTACATTTTTACATATTAAAAGAAATCAGAAGTGAAAATCAATTTTATTAAAATGTAGCAAAGAATTCCCAGTGTTGCCTGGGAACTCAGGGAGGGAGCTGAATTGTTCTTGTTACACCCTGCAGGGTGGCAGAGAGTAACTATGCAAAATTTGGTGCAGATTAGTGAATGGGTTTGGCAGTTTGTGGGGATGGGGAAAGAGTGACAGCTTGAGTTTTAAAGTAGTATATTTTTTTGGAGGATTATAGAGACTAACTATGTAAAATTTTTCCATATTGCTCAAAAGGTTTTGGGGGGTAAGGGGATGATACCAGAGAAGTGGGGGTCCAGGTTTTATGGTAGTCCATGTTTGTGTTAATAAAAGTATAATAGAATCTCTTTTTTAATCATAAACAGGTAACTAGTGAATAAATTTTATGACAGAATTAAAACACGTAGTTTTAAAAATATCTTTATAGATTTTGTTCTTAAAATTGTTATTATCCATAAACATCAATTTAGGAGGACACTAATAGGAGAAATTGAAAACTTTACAAACATATCATATTGAGAAAGCTATGGTTAAGATTTCAGTTTTTTTAATGTGCAATTTTTATATTTTGATGCTGAATGTAACTTTGATTTAATTCCATTTTAATTAGAGACAATATACATGTTTAATGGAGGAAAAAATGTTCAGCCTTACAGTAAACATTGTATATTGTGTGCTACAAAATATTTTGTAGCTCATTGTGTATATTAGTCAGTCTTATATATTTCAGATGTATTTGATTGTTGTCATGTCTTTAGATATATTTCTGCAGTCTTTAACAATGTTAGTATTTAGTTTCATTTTTAATTGCATTTCAACTTTTTTACAGATGGGCATAACATTCAAAATAGATAAATTTTTGTATACTTTACAGTACTTTTATGAATCTTGTCTTTACTACTACATATTACGGTAGCCTAGCCAAGTCTACGAGGGGCAGTCAAAAAATTTCCAGAATTGTGATGCTGTGCTGTAGTGACAAGAGATATGGCAATGCAGACCTAATCACCTTCAAAGTAGGTTTCTCCCATACAGACACACTTGTTTCATTGATCCTGCCACTTTTGAAAGCAGGCATGAAATGCTTCCTTTGGAATCTTATGGAGTTGGGCTGTCATATTCAATATGATGTCCTCCCTGCTTGTGAAATGTGTCCCTTTGAGACCCATTTTGAGAGTAGGGAACAGTGATAGTTATTCTTTGATCATTTTTATTTGGTTCTCAAACTTTTTCAATGTTTCCTTCACTGCTGGATGTTGAAGGTCTCTTGCTGCATTTGTCATCCTCCAACATCTCCTGTTCATTTTTAAACCAGTCGTAAACTGTGGATTTCTTTAGTACCTTATCACCATAAACTTGCTGCAGGGCTGACTGCATCTCTGCAGCAGTTTTCCCCAATTTGCACATGAACTTGATGTTTGCACATTGCTTGAACTGTGGCATTGTGCCAAATGATAAGCAATCACACCCAACAAAGATGCTACAGTAATGACTGTGCAAGTTTAGACTTGCACAAGCATTATCACATTGCAAATAGACACGCTGAGCTTCCCGCCACAGCAATGCATAATCTTATCTTATATCACATTTTCTAACTGTAGGTAAATTCTGGGAACTTTTTGACTGCCCCTTGTATATGAATGTCTATATGGTATAGATTATATAAATTTAACTAGATATGAAGCATATTTCAGTTGCAGACATTCCATTCACTTTAAGATAATGGAATATTTTCTATTCTTTCAAAATGAATTTTTTTTTAATGAATTTATAATTGCATTCATCATAATTTTCTAAAGTTAAAATTGATATATAAATGTTTTTACAGATACATTGGTTCTCTATTTTCAACTCTTTCATGATGGTCATCTTCTTGGTTGGTTTGGTAAGCATGATTCTCATGAGAACATTAAGAAAGGATTATGCACGTTACAGTAAAGATGAAGAAATGGATGATATGGTAAATATATTTATTATTATCTATAGTTTATTTCAAATTGTCAGAGACTTAATTTTAATCTTCTATAAAAAAAAAACTGATACAGAAGTATATTACCACTTGCTGCTGATTTATTTGATTTTGCATTATCAGACACTGGAAGTTTTTGGTAAATTGCACACATGTTATTTTTCAGATTTCATTTATTACTACTTGAAGTGTAAGAAACATTTTAGAGATTATATTTTATTGCTTTTTCTTACTTTCCTAGGATGTAGTTAATTATATTGGTTTTTCATAATTTTGTCCTATGGTAGTGCTATGTATTTTGCCATGCTAGTGACTCAGTTTCACATCATTATAGGATAGAACTGGGTGAGATGCCTAGTCTGGAGACACCTAGAGATTGTTTATCCAAATAATACTCGGTAGATGATGTCACTAGTCACTTTAATGGTGGTTGTGCTTAACATTCTTGTGTTTCATTATCTTTTGAATGACTGTTTTTGTTAAAAAATAAGTTTTTGTTTATTATCACTGTATAAACTTTTCTGTGACATTCACATGTAAATGAAACGCTCTTCAATTCAAATGTGTTTGTGATATTTCTTCTTCATGTGAAAGTAGAATGAATTATTTGTGTTGTAATCAAAACCAGAGGTTCTAATAATTTTAATCTAAAATATACAAATAGACATCTTTCCCATACAGTTTGATGTAAAAAAGAAAATAAAAAGTGTGGAAAATACAAAATAATAAATGTTAAATAAAATACGCATCTCACCCTTAAGCATTAGTCAACTCTTCCATATGCCCAAAACAGACAAGTGATATTTTGTTACTCCCTCTGTGTTACATTAAGTTTTTATTTAGCTTTGTTTGTTTTTATTAAAAGATAATTCTTGGCTATATGTGCATTATATATTTCTTCTGGAACCCACAGTTAGCAAATTATATGAGTTCATAAAAACTATAGTCATCTTACCCAGTTTTACCCTATATATTTCCATAAAGATTGCTCAAAATGAAAAACATTTTTAATCTGTGTATAACAGTCACATACATTATGAAAGAACAAATCAGTATATTTGATACAACTTTAACAGTAGCAGCAAAAATGTTGGATGTAAATGAAATATTATTGAATCTATATTTATAAAATAAAGTTCAGTCATCTCCACTAAGAAGATAAAAAGTGAATAGCTTCATTTATATGTAAATACCAAATTAAAACTCGAGCTTTTTAAGTTAATGCTGTTTTGAAGTGTCATTTAGAGAACCACACTAAACTATGTACACTCACACTAGTTAATGCTCTCAGTGCATTCTTGACAATACAGCACTAAGTGAATCAGTGCAAAATGGGTTGTTAACATATGGTGTTTTTTTTAACTCTTTTATCTGCAATTTTTAGAATTGTTTGTATTGTAGCATTGCTAAATTGAAAGGAATGCCTACATCAACTTGATGCTCGCCAACTTCTAATTAACATAATACTCTCAATTTCATATCAGAAGTATATTAATGATAGAATTACACTAAAAATATTACAAGATATACACAAAAGTTAACAGAATGCAATCAAGAGTTGTTACGAATGACTAAATGTGTCACAAATTATCCTAGAATGCAATAATGAAAAAGTAGAGTGGGGCTGTTTTAAGTGGGAATATGAGTGTAATTGCTGTGCTAGCACATCTTAGTTTATTTTGTAATAGTATATATTTGTTAATTTTTCACTCAAATTGAGAATGATAGTAGCCTAGAAATTTTTCAATATTTTTCAAAATTTCTTTTTAATGCTTGATTATAACATTTAAAAATATACATATTAAAATGATTTTTTTTCTAATTCTAGAATTCCACTGCAATGAAATGACTATAAATTATCATTTTGCTGTTATATTAAAGTTAAATATAATAAGAAGTCTAGCATTTTTATGTAATATAAATTTTACCTATATTAATTATTCTAGTGAAAAACTTAATTGGAATTTATTAATGCAAGCTTTTGAAGTTTTATGCTTACATAGATTTGTACAAATGGAATATAAAAGGATTTATTATTTAAAATTTTTTTATTTTCAGGAGAGAGATTTGGGGGATGAATATGGATGGAAGCAAGTTCATGGAGATGTTTTTCGACCACCTGCTCATCCTGTTTTGTTTTCTGCATTAATTGGATCAGGCCATCAAATTGCAGTAGTTACATTGTGTGTTGTTATATTTGCAATATTAGGTGAACTGTATACAGAGTAAGTGTATTATCATACTGAAAATAGCCAATAATTAATTTTAATTGATAAAAATGATTAAAATATAAAATATATATTGTATTTATATTAGGAATGTACCAATATCAGCTTTGCCAATTAACAGCCCATAAAAAATTCTTGTTGTTAATGTAAATTGGGTGTTAAAACAAACAGAAAGATATTAAAACACAACAGTAATTAAAGTTGTTTTTTTTTACATTTTTGTGTGTTTTAGTGCCTCATTTTAAACTTCTCATGTTCTACATTGAATATTTGTAGCCTTTACTGATTTTTGTAAGTTGTTGTTATTCCAGGGTTTTTACTTCTTTCTCTCCCTTTCAAATGAAAATAGTTCTTTCATAGCAGTTATGTTTGTTAATAATTAGTTTAGCTGCTAGTGGAGATTAATGGTTGGTTGTGTTTAAATATGAAGTTTAAAAATGAATTATTGAAATGAATAATAATTATAAATTTTTAAAATTATTTAATGAAAAGCCTGATCCAAGATTTGCTGAATGCTAGCTATGCTCAACAAAGTTTTTTGGAATGTTTTTACTCCTAAAACTTTTAATAGTATGAATATGAAAAGGCATCTAAGAAGTCATGCAGAAGCATATAAAGAAGCAATACAATATGATCATCATACTGAGTAACAAGAACTAACAGCAATGTGCTCATTAGGACATCAAACAGTCTTTGTTGAAAGAATTTCTCAATATAAAAATAGCCAATTTTGCTGATTGTCCATATGCTAAGAAATATCCAAATGCATTACTGAAATGATTGCAATAGATGTTCAATCTTATTCAATAGTTGAAAATGATAGCTTTAAGTATTTAATGAGAACACTAGAACCAAGTTATAACATTCCAAGTTGGGAGTATTTTTGGAAAAACCTGAATTATTTTAAGAAACAAAAAGAATCATCATTGAGAAATTATTGAAAGCTGATTATTTCAGCTTCACAAGAGACATATGGACATCAGCTGCTAACCAAAGCTTTATTATGGTAGTTTTACTGGATGATGATGATTGGAATTGTTGTTAATGTGTCTTGGGAATCAGTCATTTTGAAGGAAAGCATTCTACTGCTAGAAGAAGCAAAAAATGGAATAGAACATTATATGAGTGGAAAATTGATGCCTCATGACAAACTTCAGTATAACAGACAACATTAAGAACATGTTAAGCATCAATAAACTGTCTCTTGTCGAACATTACTATATTTGTCACATACTTTACAATTGATTTTAAAAGATTGAATTGTTTCCTCAGCAAAATGTTCTGGACTTTCTGGCAGTATGTTGTCCTATTATTGGCCATTTCCAGCATTCAATGTTGGCTGTGTGTCATGTCAGAAAGAGTCAAAAAGAACTAAAGGTGCCAGAACATAACCTAAATCAAAATGTTTCCATAATATGCAGTAGTACATACTATATGCTGGATTGCATTTTAGAACAGAAAGCTATTTGCATTTATGCTATCAAACATAGTTTAGAAGACAATCTCACATGTAATCATTGGACAGTTGTTGGAAAGCTTGAAAAACTTAGGCAGCCATTTGAAGAAGTCACTCTAAAACTAAGCATAGAAACTTCTGGAATTTCACAGGTGATTCCATGTGTTTTTTTGTTGGATAAGTACTTGAAGCAATAAAATAGGGATGTCTCTGATATAACAACATACATAGTGCTGCAGAAAGCACTTACTGATCATTTCAAACATTTAGAGAAAAATGAACTAGCTGTTTGTGTAACTTCTTTAGATTCATATTTCAAAAATCAATATTTTATTACACCTGAAACTTCAAAGTTTTGCAGTGAAGTTCTGAAAAAAAAAGTTATTTTTTTTAATTTCAGGACAGATGGAACTACATAATTTTATCAACTTTCAGTTAGTGTCAGTGTTTTTTTAAACTTAAACATTTTTTATGGAGATATTTGTCATAATTCATCAAAGTTATTTCACTTACTTTTGTTGTTTAAATTTTATATCATAGTATAATTGAAAATTATTGGACTTCCTAATGGTCCCCTTAACCTCCTATTTGAGTGCTAGAAAAGTTGAGTAAGAGTTTTTTTTATTAGATTTTGGTTTTGTAATGCTATGTTTTCAACATAAAATTGGAGTAATGTGAATTTTAACTTTTTTAATTTTGATGTTTAACTGCAGAAAAAAATATAACAATAGTGTTTTTTGATGATAATGATAACTTGAATTCAAAGTTATTTAGCTTTAGTTTCATAATCTAAGTTGTAATTTCAAAAATTAATTCTTTTGCAAACTGGCTGCTATTATTGGCAATATTTTATTGATATTTTACATAGCAGATACTGGTAATTGTAGAAGTGATTAATATATCAGCTCAACTGATTATCAGTACATCATTAATTTATATTATAAATAGGAAGAGGTCTGAAGGCATAAAATTTGTGTTTCTAAATTAGTCTCAAAAATGATTAAGGTATAATTGTTAATGATAAAGGTATAATTTTAAAATATGTATGTTAAAAAACATACATATTTTAAAACATTATATATTGAATAAAACTATGAAAGCAAGGTGATTAGTCTGTTAAGTTTTATGTATTTTTTTAAAAAAGTATTATGTGAAATATTTCAGTGTTAAGTTTATACATAGAATATTGAGATTCTTCTGTACAGTACATAATTGTATAAACATATAATGGATATGGTTTTTAAAGGATTATTTTGTCTTAATCATACCAAAATATAAATAGTACAGTGGTACCTCAGGATATGAACGCCCCAGCATATGAAATTTTCAGGATATGATGTGAAATTTGAACATATTTTTGCTCCACGATACGAACAAAAACTCACCATATGACGTTACATTAGTTCTCAACGCCATTTTTTATTCACTTCTGTTCATCGGTCTCAGTCAGCGTGTTTACTTCGTCGTGGAAGGATCTCATTCGATAAAGGAAATCTTGAGGTATTATCGGAAAGTGACTGATTTTATTGAAAAGAAACATCCCGAAAAGGTTCACACTGGCCGTATTGCTGCTCGGAGTAATGATATTTGCCTAAGTCATTTTAGAAACAGTTTAACTCTTTGGAAAGATATTTTACTGAGCGACCTCTATCCAGTGAAAGTGCTGGTGGGAAGTGAAGGAAAGAAAGCAAAAAAGCAGTGAATAAAAAATTAAAAAAAAAATATGAAACAGAAAAGATTAAAAAATTAGTGTTATTGTTACATTATGTTATGTAAGTTAACTTAAGTTTTAGTGTCATTCCCCTTCTCCCTCTCTTCTGCCACCAGTTTACACCTCCACTGTCGTCTATCCTCAAAGGTAAAGTGCAAATAAAACTACATTTTTTTTAATCAATTATTATTCTATTATGGTTATTTATACATTTACAACTACAAAATGCATTTTTTAGTGTTTTCCTTACTATAGTTATTTTTTTTTCAATGTACTACTTAGCTTTAATTTGAGTGTGTTTTTNAGAACAGCCCTACATGCTGCAGCAACTAATGCAAATGAAACTTGTACAAGAATTCTTCTACAAGCAGGTGGTACGTATCACAGTTAATATCATTTGATACTCTTAACTTGAAAATTTTATTAAGCTATAACTAAATGATTAAATACAAAAATATTGCATTCAGCAGAGAGATACAACAATCTTATTTTATTACCTAATGCTTGCCGAGAAAAATTGTTTATTGAACATTTTCAACTTATTATCAAAGGTCATCTTCAGGTAATGATTTATTATCGAATGTAAAAACCTGCAGATGGCCTATGATAATAGGTTGAAAATGTTTGTTCAATAAACAATTTCTCTCAGAAAGCATTTGGTTTGAAGTAAGACTGTTGTAAATAATTAAATAACTGAGCAAATAATAAAAATTTAGCATTTAATACAAAATGTTTATAGAACTATCAATGTTCTTGTTTGTAATTATTTTTAATTTATTTCCACAGTATTATTTTTAGGAAGTAAATTTTTTATATGTACAAGAACTTTGAATGGAATAATTTATTAATGTTCAGAATTTGAAAAAATGAATTTTATATTGTTATTATCTAAGTGGATTCCAGCATTTAAATTAAAAAAAAATCACATATATTCAATAAGATACAGTAGACTCAATAACTCAAAGTGGAAGAGACAGAAAGATATTTATGAGTTAATGAAATTTCAAGTTATGGAAACTAACATTGTTTTAGTGAGACTGTAAATGTCACAATACAAACAATATAAGTAGACTTAAATACATTATATTTTATTCTTATTTAGATGTGTATATGTATAAAATAACAAAACATTGACACTGTTGGTGAAAAAAGTCTGTTACACCAGTTTGTTATGGATGATTAATTGCTTCTTTCATATGATGTTTTTAGTGTATTGATCACTTTGAAAGCATCTTGTTTTATGAATGACTTAGATTTTAAATAAGAGCAAAACAGCTTTTAACATTTCTGGATTCTCTACATGTAGGGAAAGCAGGATATTTGTCCTTGACAGGATTTATTTTTTTCTTTATTTTCATCACTTGTTTCTTTATTTCATCAATGATGTCATCTACAGATAAGTGTTCACAGACAGCTAAGTTATTGTCAGCATTAATAAAATCTTTAAATTACACTTTTTCATTAGTCATTATTGTATGAAATCAGCAGTTTTCAATATAGTCAATGGATTCAAATGGAAATATCAATTTATTTGAAATATCAACAAATTGTTGACTGAAATTGGTTTTTATAAAGCATTTTCCAATAGTGTTTCATGGAATGTCATTCCAAACTCTGTTAGTCATTCATATTGCATCTAGAAGGTTTCCAAAGGAAAAGTTTGCTACTGCGTGGAAACTTTGCAATCAATTTTCATTACACATAATTTTTTATGGGAAATTTTTGCCATTCTCCTATTGATCAATTATATGATTCTCCTAGGCCAAATTAAATTTCAAAATTAGATTTAAAAAGAAAAAGGTTCAAAAAGAGTTAGAAATTTTCTTTGAGATATATTCTAAAAATTGATAAACAAAATAGTCAATGCTAAAAGTAGCACTCTCTCTGATGGAGAGTTATACTGACATTAAATGGATTAGTCCAAAAGGATCCACTTCTTACTCATATAAGACAATAGAAAAAACTGTTTTTTGAGTGTAAATATGATTTCACTTTAATAATATATTATTAATTGTTATTGAAGCTGGATTAATCTACATATTTTATAGGTTTTATATATCAAAACTTTAATATTGAATAAACTTTATGAATGTAATTTTCTTAAGAACAGGATCAATTTATTATTTTCTGTGTTTCTCGAAGGATGTGTTATATGTATTTATTAAAACAAAAGTATTTTTACATGTTTAGTTTGAATATGATAGATGATTCTGATGATTCAGATCTTTTGGATTGTTAAGTATCCAAAAGATCTGAATTAGTACAGAAATATAGAAAGAAGCTGATTTAGACTCTCATGTATTTAAAAGTATTTGTATTTGTATATTTCTTTCATTTATTTTTGCACTGAAAGATTATTAAATTAACAGTTAAATTAAATTTTATGATTCAATAGATGTTACAATTTTATAACCTATAATATAAATATTACTTATATAATGAGTAATTTTTGAAAAGATATTTTTTCTTATTAATATCTATTATAAAACTTTTTTTGAAAAGTAGAGGTAAATACATTTGACAAAATATATGTTTAGTGAATTGTATTTATTTTTAAATATATAGTATAATAAATAAATTGAATGAATATGAGAAATTACAAATTGTATTTAGAAGAATAAATTATTTTTATTACTTTTTTCTTAGCTGATCCAAACATTTCTGCTGGACCAAAAGGACATAATAAGGTAAATTTAACATGTTTATTTGTATGAAAAATTTTGAGTTAAGAATAAATAAATTCTTTTAATATAAAAACACATCTAATTTAATATTTTTAAATTATTTTTTATTGATGAATTACTCCAAACTATAAATGTATATTATAAAATAATTTTTTAAATATATTTTATGTTAAATTTATATTAGTCAAATATCTTGTTGAATGAATGTCACTCTTTTTAATATATTTATATAGTTTAAATTTACATTAAAATTTTTAAGATAAACAATTAGCATTGAAGATTGTATAAAATAATGATTTTTGTATTAAATTCTGTTTTATAATACAATGAAATTTGAATATTTATATTATATTCAAATTTCATAATTAAACTACAGTGGAACCTCAGTTTACAACCTTAATCCGTTCCTGATGTTTGGACTTATATTGAATTGGACATATACCAAACCAACCTTTCCCATAAGAAGTAATGTAAAAATGATTAATCCATTCTCATGTAAAAAAAAATGGCTGGCTTTAAACACCTTACTTTCCTGGCTAGTTCCTGCTTGATTTTTTATGAGATCAGCATGTATATTTTTAGCTTTCTCGCAAATAATTGCTTCCGATACGCTGTCTCCAGCACATTGTTTTTCAGTTATCCAAAGCAAAAGCAATTTCTCAACTTGATCTAATGTCTTCGATCTCTGTTTAGAAATTGATTTAAATCTTTTCGCAACGTTAACAGATTTAATAATATCTTTATTTTTCACGATTGTCAATATTGTCGTTCTCAGAATATGGTATGCAACAGTTAAAATCTCGAACACGCATGCCACCTTCATATTTCTCAACAATCTCTTTTATTAGTTTCATTGTGATTCTAGTCATTTTTTTAGTTTTCTGTTGCTTTTCATTTGCCTTTTTGCAATTCATGATTAATAAAAATAATAAAATTTTACTTACAAATTAAAATCAGAAGAAATTTAACAAAGTTATAAACCAATGCACCATGAATGTCTAGTCTGGTCTAGTAGTACACTGATAGTGCTACTTGTTCATAGATGGCATGTATAATTATAAGTCGTATACTGAACAAAAGTTGTATACCGAGCAAAATTTGTTTTGTCCAAACAGGACGTATTTCGAATTGGACGCATTCTAAAGCAGACATATACCGAGGTACCACTGTATTTTAATTTAACTGGAATAAATTATGAAAACAATTAACTATAAAATAATAATTGTACCATTGTTTTGAATTGTAACCCTGTAACAGAGTAAATAATTCTTAATATGAGTAAAAACTTGCTCACTATTATTTTATTAAATAAAAAGTTATCATATCTAAAAAAATTATTTCTAAAGTCAAGGAATTAAATTATATATTTTCATGAAATAATTTATGTTACAGCAGCATATATATTTTATATTATTGAAGATTAGATATTTTCTATTTAAGAATTTATTAAATTTCTTTAAAAATGCCTATTGCATCATATCTTAGGATTACAGTTATAAAAGTTACAGATATGAATAAAAAAAAAAGAGTTAATCTATAATATAACATAAAAAAGCTTTTATAATATATGTTGTTTCAAAAAAGAAACATATACAGATAACACAAACATAATAAATATTAAACAAAATATGAGTACTTTACATTCCAAATCAAGATATTGAAAGGTTTTAACAATCCTGAATGAAGATAGACAACTTTATGCAATTCTGATTTATCTAATTATTCATATAAAAGCTTTCACTTTACACAGAAATAATTTATGTACTATTGAACTTAGATATTAATAAATTATCTACTATTGAGGATATCATTCAGACATGTAATTCACTGTTTCACTTATCTGCTTTAACTTTGTACAGTAGCTTCGTAATATTTTAATTTTTCATTTTCAGAATAGCATATTTCAGCAAATAAGTGTAATAGCAATTTTATTCAATAATTTTTAATTAAAGGAAAAAGATGGATTAAACAGATGCTTATGAGTGCATTTTTGCTTCCTGCCATGGTGTGTGGTACTGCCTTTCTTATCAACTTTATTGCCATCTATTATCATGCTTCAAGAGCTATTCCATTTGGAACAATGGTATGGGACAAATTTTTACTTATCTTTTTGATCGTGTAAAATACATTTTAAATAATTGTCTTTTTTTTTAGATTTGTTTCCTAATACTAAAGATTGTAAATTGGCTAGAATCAGTATCTAATTTGTTGTTTTTATTGGATGAAATCCATATTACTTTTCCAAAACTTTTTAAGAAATCTGACACTCCTTTGTATTGAAGTTAAAGCAGTCTTTTTAAAAATTCATAACTATTTTTTAATTTATGAATGATACTATGTCTATTTAAGTCTCTTCATTATGCAGATAAGAACAATTAAATTGACATAGCTATAAATTCTGAATTATTTTAAACTGTATTGAACTTAATCCTGAAAAGTTTAGATAAAATGCAATCGTTTTTATATTAAATTAAGTCTGAAAAGAAACAAAAGAATTATAGTAGAATCCACATTATCTGAGTTGAACCTACAAGTGAATACATTGCTTTTCTTACACTATAATTCATAAAAGAAATTTTAAGACCTGGAATCCACATTATCTGAAAATATAAATGAAACTGAAAATGATGCAATGTCTGGTTCTTTTGCATTTGACTTGACAGAATCTCACCTGAAAGCAAAGTTGAACACTTTTTCATTTCTGGTTTTCTATTCAGTTGGAATGTCACCAATAAGAAAGCATTTTTTAACTGACATTAGGTCATCAGTAAAACATACTAGTACTTTTATTTAAGAAATAATTTGAGATGATATATCACATTAATTTAATTATTATATAATTATTAAATCAGCTGTTATAACTATTAAATATGGACTAATCACATACCACAAAAATCTTTAGTAACTTCTTCAAATCCTGGTCTTCATTTCAGACTTTACAATGGCCCTCATCAGCTGGTCTGATTTTTTTCAAAGAACTTAACAATGGATATACTGACATTAATTCTTCTGTTCTTAAATTGTTTATACTGACAATTAACATTGATAAATATAATAAGAGACTTATAGAATTCCTTTATAAAGCAATTATCCTTTTCTTCACTTTTTCAACCACTTTTCTCAATGTTCATCACACTTCACTTTTATTTAATAAAATATCACTTTTTCATATTTTACCAGCTGATAATTCTCTGCTTGACCGTACTTTTGACATGGATTGTGACATGGACTGTACTGTAACTTGGATTTTTATGTTTAAATATTTATACTATGACCTTTCAATTCCTCTTTCGTTGTTGTCATTAATTTTTCTACCCTAATATTTAATTTAATGATTATATGAATATGTACAGTACAGTACATAGACAGCATAAGAATAAATCATAATTATAATTTTGTTTAAAATATCTTCTATAAAGCTTACTTACTTACTTATTCTATAAAACTCATCAGCTGGTTTTGAGGTTGCAATTTTCTTGGCAGTCTTATATTAAATCACTTTCATCTAAAATCAATGTTTCCTTTTGTTTAGTTTTTTAACAATTAACAGACTACTTTTAAATGATACAAACATCAAAGCCAGCAAGGCTATCTCTATTTCAGAAAAGTTAGCTTCAAATATATGCTGCAGTATGTTGCAGTTTTCAGGTAGTGTGGAGTTTAAATGGCAATGAACTTAAAACTGAATTCCTTTACTTTTCAGTTTTTATTATCAGTTTGTTTTCATGTGATGTGAAGTCCAGACCTAAAACAATATGTACTACAAAATTTCTTATTTCTGTTACCTTTTATCAATTAACTACAGTAAGATACATTTTTATTCTGAAAAGTATTGTATGTATGTTAGTTGTGTAATAAATTTGTAAAATTGATCTTTTATATTTTTAATTTGAAATGTCTCTGGTCATTCATATTATCACAAATAATCAATGTTCTATTCTAGTTTAAATATTATATTGAATTATTATTTACTGATTTTAAGTTTAAAAAGATTTTGTAATGAATGTAATTAAATTAAAGCAATTTGATCTATAGAAGTAGTAAATAATTCTGAAGTTTATTTCTAGGTGGCTGTAACTTGCATTTGCCTGTTTGTTATTCTTCCCCTGACTTTGGTTGGAACAGTATTGGGAAGAAATCTTGCTGGCCAGCCTAACTATCCTTGTAGAATTAATGCTGTGCCTCGCCCCATTCCTGAAAAGAAATGGTTTATGGAACCTGCAGTAATTATAGTTCTTGGTGGAATTTTACCATTTGGATCGATTTTTATTGAAATGTAGGTTTTAGATATTAAAATAATTTTGAAATTAATTTTAATTAAAATTTACCATAATTGTCAAAAACAACTGAAGTAAATATATTTGACTTTTTTTTTTTAGTTGTATAAATAATGCATCTGCAAAAATTAACATTACATATATTTTCATAATCATAGGTTACTATTAGACAAATTATTTTTGAGCTAATATATTTTTTTAATATTCAAATATTAGCAAGTCAATAATAATTAAGTTGAAAGATGATGAGAATACAAAAATGATTAGTTATTCCATAGATAATTTAATATTTGATTTTTTTTTTCTTTTTAAAGTGCGTAGTACAGAAATAACTTTAAACATTACAAATGGGTGTTGTTTATAATTATTCATCAGTTTTATCAGATATGCACCACTGAACTTGCTGTAATATTACACATTTTTAAAAACTTTTTCAATTTTCTCTATGTATTTCTTAGTGAAACTAGAAACAAAAATATTTGTATTTATTTCAATCTAAGATATGATAGTATATTGGTGAACTTTATCTTTCTAAATGTAAAGCGTGTTAAGTAAAAAAAAAATACAGAAGTTTTAAATAAGTAAATAAAAGGAGTAATTAAATTTTTAAAATATTATTATTAATTACAAATCAATAGTATTATAATTTAAATTTAAATAATTTTCTAGGTATTTCATCTTTACCTCATTTTGGGCTTACAAAATATATTATGTATATGGATTTATGTTGTTAGTGTTTATAATTTTGGCTGTAGTTACTGTTTGTGTAACAATTGTCTGCACTTACTTTCTCCTCAATGCTGAAGATTATAGATGGTAAGTATAAAAATTAATAAAACTCAGTATGCTTATTCTTACATAATTAAGACAAAATTAAAATTTTTTTAACATTAAAAAAATTTAAGAATTTATTAGTTTAGTTTTTTTATCAGTGGTTCTCAACCAGTTTTTTGGAAAAATAAAATACAATGGAACCTCACTTAATGAGCATAATTTGTTCCAGAATCTTGCTCGTAATGCTGAACACTCGTTAAGAGAAACATTTTTTTTCCTCATAAATTAATGTAAAATATGATAATGTGTTCCATGCCGAAAAAATACTCAATTTTTTTATGTATAATGTTTATTCAAAGAAAATTATTCAATATACATTGTTAAGGAGTGTGAATCATCATCATCTTTTAGCACAAAATGAATCAACCTGGAATGCGAATTTGATTTGCAGAAAACAAAAAAAAAATCACAGCTAATGTGTCTGATAAACACGCCAAACGATATGCTAAATTCTTAGGCTATATAAAGACTATAATTAAATATTAGAAATTAGTTAATTTGACAGAGGTAGGCAGTTATGCTTCCATCTGGTATTAAATTTAATAATTATAAATAATAAATTTTTAATTTAGACATTTCTAAAATTTAATTTGGAATTGGTCATAACTGCCTACCTCTGTCAAATTAATTAATTTCTAATATTTAATTGTAGCCTAAGAATTTGGCATATTGTTTGTGTATTTATTATATAATGGGCTGAGGTTGTTGATGTTTATATGTAATATGTGTTAACACAAGTTTTGAAAAATGTGTTATCACAAGCGACACTAAGATGCTAGCAAAATTAGTTCTAAACACAGACTAATGGAACGTGCACACAATCTGGGACTTTTCCTCTTCTTGTCACTTGTTTTGTGAAATGTCACTCGTTAAGCGAGTCATTTTTTTTACAATTTATTTTGCTTATTATGCGAGGTGCTCTGCTCATTAAGCAAGGTTCCACTGTATAATTCTGTGCATTATCAACTATATTATCTAGTTGATAATGCACTGAATTATATTTAGATATCATAGAGAAGCAGCCCTTGCATAGTAGATGAAGCTATATATGCTATATTATTTATGGTTGTTTTATAACTTGTAATGCCACCTGTGATTCTTCATTATATGTTATTAATTATATGGTACAATCATCTTCAAATATGCAGAGTAGTTGCAGTTAGTGGGAAAAATCAATAAATTGCATTATTTGGGCTATAACCATACTTTTGAAATAAAAAGATGAACAGGCAATTGAAGTGTAAGTCTGGAGAATCTACCAGCACATCTACCCATAAGTTAGTATCATTAATTATACATGAACAAGGTTTTGATACTTTGACTTTCAAATTAAATCTTTTATGGACTGGCTAATTGCAATTAACCTGTTGTCCAGTCCTGTATCTTATAATATAATTGAGATGGGTTGATGATGATGATAATAAGTGCAGAGCCCAAACGATTAGGAGTTGAAATTTGGTACATGGTATGCATGAGAACATACACTAAGGGATTTTTCAAAATTCTCCCGTGGGGAGAGGGACAGAATTAAGGCTTATCATGAAGAACTCAGCTTCTATTATACCATTTTAGATGCAGTTTTTTGCATTTTAATAGGGTATGCCATGAGAATGCACATTAAGAAGGGATTTTTCAAAATTCTTACTGCAAGGGAGAGAGAGTTAAGGATTACTTCAAAGAACTTGCTTCTACTGTACTATTTTAGATGTCTTTTTTGCATTTATGCAGGAAATCAAACATATTTTTAGACCCAATATTTAGTGTTCCATTGTATATAAAGTTGACATGGGGAGCACATGCGCATAAGTTTGCTTTATTCAAACTCTCTGTCTTAATGTTCGAATTTATATTTATGAATGATTCGGGAAGATCCAGCTTTTTTTATGAATTTAGTAAACCTGCAGAAGAACCCAGAAGGGGTTACAGTTCTTATTCATCATTTAGTGGTACTATGCACTGGTTAGTGGTTGCTGTGAATCTTAATTATCATTATTCCAGTGTGGTAAGCAGATATCTAAAAGTTTTCTAATTGGTCTCGGAAGAGGGGAAACCTAATTCTTGCACCCTGTGAAAACGGGTAAGATCAGCTAAAATCTAATAATCTTAATCTTTGTTATCATTACTTTTTGTCCGAGCAATGCCAGGCTCATCTGCTAGTATTCAATAATAGTGCTGCATCCTCACATGGGTGTAAAAGTGTGCTGTAATTCAAAGGTTGAGAACAACTGATTTGTATGAATGTACATATATTGCATTTTTTTTTCTTTCTTTCAGAGTATATTATATAGCAAATTTGTCATTTAAGTTTTTAAAAGTTAAAGTTAAGAGTTATTGGATTTATATTATGCTAATTTATAATTAATATTAATTTATATGAATATTAAGTTATGTATATATGAAGCACCCCCTATTATGCTTCTGACACCACTGTGTTTTCTGGTGAACACAAAACTTCATTCTAATTTCTCACACATTTGTAGAACACATGCAAGCAACTATATATGGGAATGAATGTGAGTGGGTGGAGAAGGAAAGTTAGAGAGACAGAGATCCAGAAATGATGCACTCCACTATGCTTTTTAGCAAAATTAACAACAATTTATTAAACGAAACAGCTTTTCTACAAGAGCAAATTATTAAAGGGGAGTGTCTAGAACTGCATGAGAGAGTGTTTACAAAGTCAGACATGTGTTGGTAAATATCTTGATTGGTAGGTTGATTGATGTCAGTATTCCATGGATTGTATTGCAGAAAGGTGACGTTTTCGCTGGGTTGAGGAAAGTAAGATTCCTAGGTGGGGTCAGTTCTTGGTTGAATGTCCAGTAGATATAGGCAGCTATGGTCCAGCAAATGGTGGCAGTTGCAGGGATTGGCGGTGGGGCACGGCTAAAATACACTGCACAAGGAGATGGATCTGCAAACTCTGTCATCATTAACTTTTGACCTTTTTATGTTAGGTCCTCCTCTTGGGTTCCAATGCCCATTTTAAGTAAAGTTGTCTGTTGCTCCAATCTGCAATTTTGTCATTAGGTTCCTGATGAGTAGTCATTCAGCTGTGTCACTCGTGAAGGAAGTACAATCCATGGAAAAAACTTCCTGAATGATATCTATGACATCTTTGCTGTTATAGTTGGCAAAATAAATTTAATAAATATATGAAATATATATTTTTTAATCAAATAATTTGCATTAGCCCAGGTTCTCACATTATTCTTAGAGAAAAAAAATTCACAAATATTTACTTGTATAATAATAAATTTGTAAAATTGGTCTTCTTCACATTAGAAATTCAATATTAATAATAAAATTTATTTTAATATATAGATATTTTATGTTGAAAATTTAGCAAAAAACTTTGAACTGAATATTTTTACTGATTGTAGTTATTAGAATTAAATTTTTATTACTAATTCAGATCATAAATTTTGAGAAGAAGCATATAATTAATAATAGAAACAATATTAATAGCCCTTATAATTAGAGTTTAGAAATTTGGCATCTAAGTTAACTATTTGGCTCTCTCATGTCTGTTTTTCTGTATGTAAGCATATAACATAAAGTAATGTATGTGCACTGTACATTTTTTACTGTGATATGCTTGTTTATACTTATTTTTAGCCATCAAATATTAAAAACAAATGCATATTTTAAAATAAAAGGAAAAATAAAGTCTAAGCATATTTACTAAGTTATCTGCATAAATGATTTCTTTAAAATTGTGCTTAATGTTTAGATATTTAATGAAAATAAATTAAAACTTTTGCTAATTCTTATTGTTTTTTTTTAAAACTGATACATGAAGTGTTTTTAGTAAACTAATAAATTTTAATGTTTATAAAAAATTTTAGGCAATGGACAAGCTTCTTGTCAGGAGGATCAACTGCTGCCTATGTTTATGTTTATTCCTTTTATTATTTCTTTTTCAAAACAAAGTAAGTATCAATAATTTTAGACTATGAAACAAATTTTATAAAAAGAAAAAACTCACCTTTAAATTAACATATCTTTTATATCTTTTTATAGAATGTATGGATTGTTTCAGACAACATTTTATTTTGGCTATATGGCTCTCTTCAGTATAGCATTAGGAATCTTGTGTGGTAAGATATTATTATTTTTCTGTAATATTTTTGTATGTATAATATACAAAACTCTTGGTTTTTATTTCAGGAAGTTTTGGATTTGTCGGAACAAACACATTTGTTAGAAAAATCTATTCGACTGTAAAAATAGACTGAGCAGAAATAGTTTAAAGAAATTATTGAATTAAATGTTATTTACTGGACAGTATCAAAGAGCCATCTTTTTTGCCAATATTTGTTGAGGCAAGACAAGTATGAACTGATTCAAATAGCTTTTTTTTTCTCTTCGTCTTTTAGGTTCTCTTCTTGAATTTTGCTTGCTGACTGGGAATTGGTTTTATTTTTAAAATTCAATATTAATAACTGTCTGCCTCATACAGACTGGGCCACTGGCTCCTTGGATTCAGGTGGCACAATATGGATTATACTGTGGATGTGATATATATAATTGATCCAAAGATTATGTTGGATCTGTGTAGCTGATTACACTATTATTAAGTGCACAGTTACTGTAAATAAATAAATAAAATAATAAGTTCATCTAATTTCAATTATAAAGTGTAATAAGGGAAATATATAAAACTACATACGATTTTAATAATTCCATAGAAAGTTATCAACCATAATCCCATTTACAATTTTCCAGAAAATGTATCTTTCATTTATTCGGAACTTTTCTAAGTCATTTCATTGTGATTTGGTTTTTTACTGCATTTCATGTTCTGTGCCTCCCCAAAGTGAAATGTATTAGTTGCACTATTTTCATTTGGCTGTGCCACAATAAAAAATGTGTTAATATGTTATGTATTAATTATATTTGTATACACTAAAAATATATGTTAATTGTAAATTTCATACACACACTTTCCATTTGATGTTTGCAACTTGGAGCACGTTGCAAAAATGGCAGAGACAAATTCATACGTACCAAAGCTTTCTACTGGTGCCACAAAAACTTAAAAGTGTAATACTTTTTTCTATCTGTGACGGCACTCTCTATAAAGTTATGAAAGTTTGAATCATACATTCCTAAAATTGTACATTTAAGTATTTTAAAGGTGTTAATGAATTTTTGTATTATTTTAAGAAATTGTGGGATTACATAAATAGAATAGAAATGTAAATAGTAAAGAGAGAGAAAAAAAAACAATCCATGTGCTACATTGTCTCTTTTCATAATGTGCATTATTTAAAATCAGAATCTTAGTAAAATTTAAAATGTTGAAAGATAGTACTTATATAATTTGTTGATTTTTATTTATGATTAATTGGTGGGAGGGAACACACAATAAAAAGATATTAAGATTTCAAAATAAATTTTTAACAGTTTTCATTTTGCATCACCAAAATCCAATCTCGATTTATATCAAGCAAATTAATAGAATTCTTAGTTGCACGAGTAATGAATAAATAAATATTTCAAATACCAATACTTTCTAGCCATTGAAGAATGTTAATTATCTAAATATAAAATCATTAAAATATTATCCAAAGAAATTATTATGGAGAATTAAGACATTTGTGAATAATTAAATTTTATAAACTTTCTTTATTTAAATTTATATTTTTAATTTATTCACGTGACAAAAAATATTTCAAGGAATATTTGTTGCAAATGTAAATAATCAAAACATTATAAAATATTGCTTGCTCATAAGTTTATTAAAAATATCCTGTTCAAATTTGTCTTACATTATGCAGTTACCTTAACCTGAAATCAAATATTAATACTAAAATTAATAGAGAATTTATTAGAATTTACATATTTTTTAAATTTAAAGCAAAAATAAAAATATCCTCTTTTATAATTTATTTCCAAAAACAAAAGCTAAATTAAAACTAAAATTAATGTAGTTTAACAAGTTATGTGATGATCAAATGTTAGTTTTAAAAAAAAATGTAGAAATCATCAGATTGAATTATTAGAAAAAATTTGAACTTTCAATAAATAATGATAAATTGAAAAATTTTAAAGCACTTTTAGATTCATTTTTATCTCATTCCTTTGTTTTTGCATTTTGAATATAATGGTGCTACTTGCTATTGATATAATCATTTTTTAAAGTTTTTACAGAAAAGTACATACTCTTGGTAAAAATAAGTCTTTGTTTTGTGAATTAGATATTTTAATTAAGTGACGTAATATCCTGAATTTTATATAAATATTTTTACAGAGGAAGTTTACAGTTTTTACAGTAAGCTCGTTAACAAATAATTAGATTAGATTCACTTAGTTTCAATTTTGTTTAAAACATTTCTTAAAGTAAATATATTTGACTTTTTTTTTTTAGTTGTATAAATAATGCATCTGCAAAAATTAACATTACATATATTTTCATAATCATAGGTTACTATTAGACAAATTATTTTTGAGCTAATATATTTTTTTAATATTCAAATATTAGCAAGTCAATAATTATTAAGTTGAAAGATGATGAGAATACAAAAATGATTAGTTATTCCATAGATAATTTAATATTTGATTTTTTTTTTCTTTTTAAAGTGCGTAGTACAGAAATAACTTTAAACATTACAAATGGGTGTTGTTTATAATTATTCATCAGTTTTATCAGATATGCACCACTGAACTTGCTGTAATATTACACATTTTTAAAAACTTTTTCAATTTTCTCTATGTATTTCTTAGTGAAACTAGAAACAAAAATATTTGTATTTATTTCAATCTAAGATATGATAGTATATTGGTGAACTTTATCTTTCTAAATGTAAAGCGTGTTAAGTAAAAAAAAAATACAGAAGTTTTAAATAAGTAAATAAAAGGAGTAATTAAATTTTTAAAATANTTTGAACCTGGATTTCTCTGATCAGTAGAATTTGTTATGTGGCCATATATACTAATCATTCAATATAACTTTCCATTATTACTAAAGGGACCAGGTTCAGATTGTCTAATCTTTCCGAAAATTGAAACTGGTTTACTTTTTAGATTATTACTTAAGTCTTTTTTTTAAGTGATAGATATCATTTATTCCTTTTTATTTATTTATTGATATCTAATTAATAAATTTGAATTTATTTTAAACCAGTTCTGTAGATACTAGAGTAATTCAATTAGATTTAATGGTCAGACAAGCAGTGAAAGAAGTTTTTAGAAACAAAATACAGAACTTCAGTAAGATTCGTAAGAGTTTTTTTTTTTCTTTTCTTTATATTATTAAACTGCAGTATTTATTCATTTTTAAACTTTAAAATATTAATTGACTTTGGATTTTACACCAGTTGTTTTGACTCTAATAATGAGTTCTTGAACTAATAATCTCTTTTATCACACACTGAAAAATACTTTTTTCTCAATTTTCTATTCAAAAATCAAATTATTGAAAGTAATTTTTAAAAATTGCTTTTATAACAATAATTTAAAAGTATTTTATAATTATCAAATTAAGTCTTACCTTTTATGGCTTGATTCAACATCTAACAGCTTAATGGCTTTGGATGGATGACTAATTTGAAACCCATCACTAGAAAAAAAGCCAATGTGGTTTTTTTCCCCCTAGAAATTATTTTGAAATATTAGTGTCTTTTTATATTATATATATATAAGAATATATAAAATTGAATATATTTAAACAATGACATCAATAAAGACAAATGCAGTTAATGATAAATTTTAAAAATTTTATTTTTTTTTCTTTTTTTGGCACAAGTGTGTGTGTGTGTCTTGTATTTTATAAGAAAAGTTTTTTCCACCGAGTAAAATATTTCCAGCCAAAATTGTATGAAGACAAAAATCAAATTTTAGAATAGATTAATATGTAATGTGTATAGGTTAGCTGTTTTATCTCATTAGTTTCATTTTTAGTTGATAAAATGTATAAAGTGTGAATATGTCAAACCATTCAGGAAAAATTCATCATTGGAATATTTCTGGATGATGTAATTGCAAATGATGGAAATAAATATTGTTTTAATAAGTATTTTCGTATATCAATGAACTCTCAATAGTAGGGAAGTGAAATTATCATCATTCTTTCATTTATGTTTTTGTCACTTTAAACTTTTACATTAGTATGTAAATAAGAATTTTACATTACACATAGATGAAACTAATATCATGAAGTATAATGAAAATCAAATTTGCATAATACTGCAGACAGTCAAAAAGGAAAGTGAGAAAGGTTTATAATTGTTTTGAATTAATATTTTGAGTTGAAAATGTTTATTCATTGATTGTTACAGATAACTTTACAGTGTCAATAGCTGACAGTCCAGGGATGATGAACCTTTTTAAGTCCGTTCGCCTTGTAAGCATATTTTGCTTTAAAGATGTTTATTAGTGTCAAAGTTTTAGACTTCGAATAATGATATTTAAACAAATTAAACAAGTGTGCTTTAATTAGAATAAATGTAAAAATGCTGAGGGAACAAACCAAAAGGATGATTGAAAAAAACAGGTGATAAATTGAAATTGTATGATACATTAGGTGCTAACCTGGGATAGTCGGATGCAAGTCTTGGCAATCCAATTTGATCACACGAATTAAGGTTTAAGACCTCATTCCACTCCACTCATTGTAACAGACTTTAGACTTTCATTGTTTTGTTTTTNCACATAGATGAAACTAATATCATGAAGTATAATGAAAACTGAATTTGCATAATACTGCAGATAGTCAAAAAGGAAAGTGAGAAAGGTTTATAATTGTTCTGAATTAATATTTTAATCATTGATTGTTACAGATAACTTTACAGTGTCAATAGCCGATAGTCCAGGGATGATGAACCTTTTTAAGTCCATTTGCCTTGTAAGCGTATTTTGCTTTAAAGACGTTTATTAGTGTCAAAGTTTTAGACTTCGAATAATGATATTTAAACAAATTAAACAAGTATGTTTTAGAATAAATGTAAAAATGCTGAGTGAACAAACCAAAAGGATGATTGAAAAAAGCAGGTGATAAATTGAAATTGTATGATACGTTAGGTGCTAACCTGGGATAGTCGGATGCAAGTCTTGGCTATCCAATTTGATCACACGAATTAAGGTTTGGTAAGACCTCATTCCACTCCATTCATTGTAACAGACTTTAGACTTTCATTGTTTTGTTTTTAAATTTTGAATTATATTCTCTGAAAATATTAAAAATTATTCTTGATCATAGATGAGAACCTGAGTTAATGATGATAAGCATGCTAAAACTCAATATAGCTAAAATGATAGATTGAATGTTACATCATGTATTATTTAGATTTGGTTACAGATAACAGTTTTGTCTTAAATATAAGCAATGAAATGACAGAAAGAAATATGGAAAATCTTGTGTTTAGGAAAGTACATTAGATATGAATTCATTTTCACAAATCAAGATACATAAAAATGCCTCAAAATAATAGATTAAGTAATAGTTAATTGAAAGTCTAATAAATTTGTTGAATAATATATTTTGTTTCAATATAGCTTTTTATTTAAAATTAAGATTAATCATTATTATAGTGTATAAAACCTAAATATTAGTATACATAATGTATACAGTCTAATACATTTTTAATTCTAGAATGGGGGGATATTCTGTATTTTAGAATACAGTGTATTGTTTATAAACAGCTACTATCTATAATTAATAAAAGTTCAGTTCCAAGATGGAAAAAAAGTGTGCTTACTGTTACAGGGTGGCTGTTAATGGAATAAAATTCTCTAACTTTTTCACTCTTATTATTTGAACAACAATGCAACAGTGAAAAATAATTTCAACGTATGGTAAGAATGATAACACAATAGAATGTTCAATTTTTCAGTTTACAATAAACCCCATCTTCCTTTAATGTGCTTGCTTTTTTTAAACATTTTCTGCCCTGTAAGCGCCGTATCGTCGGCATCCAAAAAGCCAGATTCGCGCACCAACCTCACTCGGTTTAGCCGGAGGAAGCCTAAGACCTCGGGTGGATGCTACACGTATACCGCATCCAATTCTATCCGGGACCGGTTCTGGGCTGTCTGTTAGCCGCCCGCCCGCTAGATATTTGGCCGCCCTCGCCCGATTACGTGAATCGCGAGTACATTTATAACTTACCAGTAAATTCTTATCGGTTGAGTTGTTTTTATGATAGTTCTGTATAGTTGACAGGAGTTTTAAAAAATCCATTAAAATATTTGATATTTTTATTCCGCTCTCCAATCTTATATTACTCGGGGATTTCAATGTTAAGCCAGTGATATTACGATTTCGTATATCCCATCTTTAAGAGGATGTAGAAAAAAACGCGTACAATTCT